ATTTTCATCAGTTTAGTATCTGTAGTGTCCACGCTGATTAGGAATATTGCTATAGCATTTACCTAGAACTTCTGACACCATGAATTCAGTGATTACAAGTGGTCAGTCAGGAAAGATAGTTGTAGGAGAGTAAGCATACAAAATAGTATGTATGTATAGTAATGGATTTTCTGGAATAGAAATGTGTTACAATATTGCACCTCAATAACTTACCTACAAAAATAACTTGATTTTGTTTATTACAAAACAAATTCTTTAAACATAGATTGAAAAAAAAAAAAAGGGTCTCTACCATTTCAGAAAATGAGCCCTTCCTATACATAGCAACAAAACAAAAATTAAGGTGAAAAAACAATTCTATAGGGCGTACCAATGAGTTAGTATAAAGATTCGTTACAAAAGAGAAATAAAAAAGGTCTGGTAAAAAGGGGAAAACCAGAGCAACTATTAGAGCTAATAACTTATGGTACAGAATTGCACAAGCTTAAAAAAATAAAATAATGCAGAATGATAGCTGATTTTAGCATCTATATGGAAAGTAATGTAGGGTGGTCCAGAGTTGTCAAGAATTTGTGCTACGTCAACATTTCTACTAGAACAAGAAGGAATTATTTTACATTTCATTATGCAAGGCTTGACATTAAATTAGATGGCAATAATCTTTATTAGATCTTAAATGACAAAATATTTCTATAAAATTGATCAACTAGGGAAATCTATCTGCATCCCTGCCACAAACAGATATTTGGTGAAGGGCGCGGAGCCTGACTGTCAAGCGGACGAGAAGTGCTCAACACGAGCTCCCGACTCTGGTGTTGAAAATCGGGGTACACTGCCTGACCCCTCGTTCCTGCAGACCGGAGCTTCCCCAATTACTGTCCGGAGGAGTTTACTGAACCCGGAGATACCCTGCAAAGGTCACCTTAACCCTTGACCACGCACCGGAGGCTTGCGGCCTAGACGAGCATAGGCCTAGGAGAGGCGGACGCTCTCCTGGTTCTAATACGGACAGAATACACAGTGTATTGTTCCCCCCCCACCCACCACTTTGGACCGGTGGTAATCCCGGTCTGCACTGCATGCCCCCACTTGCCTCTGTCACTCACAGGCAACAGCTGCACTCCCATTTAAAATGGAGGATGGGCCTCCCTCAGTCGAGCAACGACTATTACCAGCTGCACCAGGCCCGCAAGTCAGCTTGGACAGGCTTTTTAACTGCTTTTGGGCGAAATTGGAAGCACGGACGGGGATAGCACCAGCTCGGTGTGAGGAGGAAGCACAAAGAGGAGATGGGCACGGGGCACATGTAACCCCTTTGTGCGCAAGCATCCAACAAGCCACTGTACCTCATAAGCACGGCCCACCTAGGTCGAGGGCCGCCCAGGGAACTCAACTGCCGCATAGACCATGAAGACAGACTACCCCTTGCCGCGAGTGGCGCCAAACACCCAGGTGATGCTGTCATATCTCCTCAAGGAAGGACTTGCACTCTATTACTTAAGCACAGCTACAACACTACTGCTATAACGCTTAGACAGACAATCAAAGCACAGTGTCACATGATGCTTGATTTACCCAGAGATTCCTTACAACTATTACTTACTCATACATACTGCCTACTGCTGACCAGTTAGCTTCGCTTAAACGTTACCACAGTACTTAATGCATGACATAACTAGTTACTTTCATTGTGATTTTCACTTGTATACTTCACATGTTTAAACCTTCACGTTTCTTTAAAAAAAAAAAAAAATTTTAAAAAAAAAAGAAACGTAATGTCCACTAATGCTTGTCTGACTTTCAATGCACTGTGCAAAAATAAAATAAAAAGATATTTGGTATGAGAAATGTGATACCCCTACAAAAATATGATTACACACTGTATTTTACAATACTATGTTAAACTTGTGAAGAAACAGGGGAGTATTATATTTTGTAACACTGAAAACATTACTCTGTCCTTTTTCCTAAAACAATTTTTTCCTATTGTGTCGAGTGCACGTGATGCACAATATACTCACCTCAAATAAATTTTTTTGTTAATTTACATGCATTTCTCCATTACATTGAATTCACTTGAAGCCTAGTTTAACTTCAAATAAAAACATTTGCAAAAAGCAGAATGTGGAAAAAATAATGAATTAAAAAAAAAAAAATGAATTTAAAAAAAGGAAATAAATCACAAAACTGAAATGTGCCATCCAATAAAATATAAATTTAACACTAAATTATCTAAGCTGATTACCCAGCACTGTACTGACCATGGTGCTGATTACTAGTTGATTTCCCTTGTGGTAGAATAATTTTCTGCTTTTCATTGCAATAGCAAAATTCAAAACTATGCTGCAATATTAGATGTAAAGAAAATGTTAAATGAAGAAATCTATGTAGATTTAAATTATTTCATTGGGTTTTCTACTCTATAGAATTAAACTACCAATGTATGCCTATGTCCTCCAATCAAACATGCATGGATTTTGAAAAGAGACGCTGCTCTAATTAGATCATACATAGGAAATTAAAATAAAATTGTAATGAGACACTAGTTTTCTCATAAATTTAGGATTACCCATGTACTTTGCAATGAACATATCTGGGTATTTAAAATGTTAGATAAAACCTGCCTGTTAGATAACAGTAAGCATTGTACTGTGTGGAAGAACAAATATTGAGTAAATTTATGAACTTGTTAAGATAGGTATCCAATGATGCTCAGCCACAGGAATACACAGTTACCCATCACTGGTTAACACTTTTGAAGTGACTTGTGGCATGCATACATTTGGTGTCCCTCACTAGTTATGCACTGCAGTAAACACCTGGTGTCCGTGAACAGACATGCGTAGCAACAGATAACCCAGGGATTACTGACCAGCAAAACATTGCAGCAGAGACCTAGGGTCCCCAGACAGACACTGCCCCCAGGGGACCCCCCAGACAGACACTGCCCCCTGGGGACCCCCCAGACAGACACTGCCCCCTGGGGACCCCCCAGACAGACACTGCCCCCAGGGGACCCCCCAGACAGACACTGCCCCCAGGGGACCCCCCAGACAGACACTGCCCCCAGGGGACCCCCCAGACAGACACTGCCCCCTGGGGACCCCCCAGACAGACACTGCCCCCTGGGGACCCCCCAGACAGACACTGCCCCCAGGGGACCTCCAAGAAAGACACTGCCCCCAGGGGACCCCCCAGACAGACACTGCCCCCAGGGGACCCCCCCCACAGACACTGCCCCAGGGACCCCCACACAGACACTGCCCCAGGGACCCCACACAGACACCTTTGGGGACCCCCACACAGACACTGCCCCCAGGGGACCCCCACACAGACACCTGCCCCCAGGGGACCCTCAGACAGACACTGCCCCCCTGGGGACCCCCAGACAGACACTGCCCCCAGGGACCGCCCAGACAGACACTGCCCCAGGGGACCCCAGACAGACACTGCCCCAGGGGACCCCCAGACAGACACTGCCCCAGGGGACCCCCAGAGAGAGACACACCCCCTGGGGACCCCCCAGAGAGACACTGCCCAGGGGACCCCTGACAGACACTGCCCCCAGGGACCCCCCAGACAGACACTGCCCCCTGGGGACCCCCCAGACGAACCTTTGCTAGGGGGACCCCCCAGACAGACACTGCCCCCAGGGGACCCCCCAGACAGACACTGCCCCCAGGGGACCGCCCAGACAGACACTGATACCGCTGGTGTATAGTTAATGTGACAGGGCCTGCAGTCCCGGAGGATGAAGCATTGCAGCTTGCTATTTCCAGCACTCTGACAGTAACCTACCTGTGCGCACACCCTCGGCAGTAACCGGTCTCGGTTCTCCGGCCATCTCAGCAGCATTCCCCCGGTATACACAGCCCCCGCCCCGGCCACGGCTGCCCCAGCAAGCCGAGCTGCCCCGAGCCATGTCCGGTTCCCGGAAGCTCCCACGGGAGCGATTCTACGGAAAACAACAGAATAAACCGCTCTCCAGGCCGCCATCTTCCCGGAAATGTCAGCTGTCACTAGGCAGCGCGCTGTCGCGAGAGCAGAGCAACGGTAAGATTGGCTGACGTCACGCGACGTGGTCACGTGATCTACCTGCGTTCCTGGTGAGTGGCTGGTCCCAGGGCTGGGACTTTTACTTTCGGTGCTGCAGGTGACATGGTCACGTGACTCACATCTATCTTCATTAGAATCTTTCTATCTGTAACAACACACTGTATGAACCTTCTCACACCATCTATAATAATAATAACACACTGTATGGACCTTCTCACACCATCTATAATAATAATACTGTATGGACCTTCTCACACCATCTATAATAATAACACTGTATGAACCTTCTCACACCATCTATAATAATAATAACACTGTATGGACCTTCTCACACCATCTATAATAATAATAACACTGTATGGACCTTCTCACACCATCTATAATAATAATAACACTGTATGGACCTTCTCACACCATCTATAATAATAATACTGTATGGACCTTCTCACACCATCTATAATAATAACACTGTATGGACCTTCTCACACCATCTATAATAATAATAACACACTGTATGGACCTTCTCACACCATCTATAATAATAATAACACTGTATGGACCTTCTCACACCAACTATAATAATAATAACACTGTATGGACCTTTTCACACCATCTATAATAACACACTGTATGGACCTTCTCACACCATCTATAATAATAATAACACTGTATGGACCTTCTCACACCATCTATAATAATAATAACACTGTATGGACCTTTTCACACCATCTATAATAACACACTGTATGGACCTTCTCACACCATCTATAATAATAATAACACTGTATGGACCTTCTCACACCATCTATAATAATAATAACACTGTATGGACCTTTTCACACCATCTATAATAACACACTGTATGGACCTTCTCACACCATCTATAATAATAATAATAACACTGTATGGACCTTCTCACACCATCTATAATAATAACACACTGCATGGACCTTCTCACACTATCTATAATAATAACACTGTATGGACCTTCTCACACCATCTATAATAATAACACACTGCATGGACCTTCTCACACCATCTATAATAATAATAACACACTGTATGGACCTTCTCACACCATCTATAATAATAACACACTGTATGGACCTTCTCACACCATCTATAATAATAACACACTGTATGGACCTTCTCACACCATCTATAATAGTAACACACTGTATGGACCTTCTCACACCATCTATAATAATAATAACACACTGTATGGACCTTCTCACACCATCTATAATAATAACATTGTATGGACCTTCTCACACCATCTATAATAATAACACACTGTATGGACCTTCTCACACCATCTATAATAATAATAACACACTGTATGGACCTTCTCACACCATCTATAATAGTAACACACTGTATGGACCTTCTCACACCATCTATAATAATAATAACACACTGTATGGACCTTCTCACACCATCTATAATAATAACATTGTATGGACCTTCTCACACCATCTATAATAATAACACACTGTATGGACCTTCTCACACCATCTGTAATAATAATAACACACTGTATTGACCTTCTCACACCATCTATAATAATAACAACACACTGTATGGACCTTCTCACACCATCTATAATAATAATAACAGACTGTATGGACCTTCTCACACCATCTATAATAATAATAACACACTGTATGGACCTTCTCACAACATCTTTAATAATAACACTGCATGGACCTTCTCACACCATCTATAATAATAACACTGCATGGACCTTCTCACACCATTTATAATAATAACAACACACTGTATGGACCTTCTCTCACCATCTATAATAATAACACACTGTATAGACCTTCTCTCACCATCTAAAATAATAACACACTGTATGGACCTTCTCACACCATCTATAATAATAACACACTGTATGGACCTTCTCACACCATCTATAATAATAACAAACTGTATGGACCCTCTCACACACCTTACACCATCTGTAATAATAACACACTGCATGGACCACCTTACACCATCTGTAATAATAACACACTGTATGGACCTTCTCTCACCATCTGTAATAATAACACTGTATGGACCTTCTCACACCATCTGTGATGATAACACACTGTATGGACCTTCTCTCACCATCTGTAATAATAGTAACACACTGTATGGACCTTCTCACACCATCTGTAATAACACACTGTATGAACCTTCTCACACCATCTGTAATAATAACACACTGTATGGACCTTCTCACACCATCTGTAATAATAACAACACACTGTATGGACCTTCTCACACCATCTGTAATAATAACACACTGTATGAATCTTCTCACACCATCTGTAATAATAACACACTGTATGGACCTTCTCACACCATCTGTAATAATAACAACACACTGTATGGATCTTTTCACACCATCTGTAATAATAACACACTGTACACTGTATGGACCTTCTCTCACTATCTGTAATAATAACACTGTATGGACCTTCTCTCACCATCTGTAATAACAACACACTGTATGGACCTTCTCACACCATCTGTGATGATAACACACTGTATGGACCTTGTCTCACCATCTGTAATAATAATAACTCACTGTATGGACGTTCTCACACCATTTGTAATAATAATAACACACTGTATGGACCTTCTCACACCATCTATAATAGTAACACACTGTATGGACCTTCTCACACCATCTATAATAATAATACTGTATGGACCTTCTCACACCATCTATAATAATAATAACACTGTATGGACCTTCTCTCACCATCTGTAATAATAACACTGTATGGACCTTCTCACACCATCTGTGATGATAACACACTGTATGGACCTTCTCTCACCATCTGTAATAATAGTAACACACTGTATGGACCTTCTCACACCATCTGTAATAACACACTGTATGAACCTTCTCACACCATCTGTAATAATAACACACTGTATGGACCTTCTCACACCATCTGTAATAATAACAACACACTGTATGGACCTTCTCACACCATCTGTAATAATAACACACTGTATGAATCTTCTCACACCATCTGTAATAATAACACACTGTATGGACCTTCTCACACCATCTGTAATAATAACAACAACACACTGTATGGACCTTCTCACACCATCTGTGATGATAACACACTGTATGGACCTTGTCTCACCATCTGTAATAATAGTAACACACTGTATGGACCTTCTCACACCATCTGTGATGATAACACACTGTATGGACCTTGTCTCACCATCTGTAATAATAATAACACACTGTATAGACCTTCTCTCACAATCTAAAATAATAACACACTGTATGGACCTTCTCACACCATCTATAATAATAACACACTGTATGGACCTTCTCACACCATCTATAATAATAACAAACTGTATGGACCCTCTCACACACCTTACACCATCTGTAATAATAACACACTGCATGGACCACCTTACACCATCTGTAATAATAACACACTGTATGGACCTTCTCTCACCATCTGTAATAATAACACTGTATGGACCTTCTCACACCATCTGTGATGATAACACACTGTATGGACCTTCTCTCACCATCTGTAATAATAGTAACACACTGTATGGACCTTCTCACACCATCTGTAATAACACACTGTATGAACCTTCTCATACCATCTGTAATAATAACAAACTGTATGGACCTTCTCACACCATCTGTAATAATAACAACACACTGTATGGACCTTCTCACACCATCTGTAATAATAACACACTGTATGAATCTTCTCACACCATCTGTAATAATAACACACTGTATGGACCTTCTCACACCATCTGTAATAATAACAACAACACACTGTATGGATCTTTTCACACCATCTGTAATAATAACACACTGTATGGACCTTCTCTCACTATCTGTAATAATAACACTGTATGGACCTTCTCTCACCATCTGTAATAACAACACACTGTATGGACCTTCTCACACCATCTGTGATGATAACACACTGTATGGACCTTGTCTCACCATCTGTAATAATAGTAACACACTGTATGGACCTTCTCACACCATCTGTGATGATAACACACTGTATGGACCTTGTCTCACCATCTGTAATAATAATAACACACTGTATAGACCTTCTCTCACAATCTAAAATAATAACACACTGTATGGACCTTCTCACACCATCTATAATAATAACACACTGTATGGACCTTCTCACACCATCTATAATAATAACAAACTGTATGGACCCTCTCACACACCTTACACCATCTGTAATAATAACACACTGCATGGACCACCTTACACCATCTGTAATAATAACACACTGTATGGACCTTCTCTCACCATCTGTAATAATAACACTGTATGGACCTTCTCACACCATCTGTGATGATAACACACTGTATGGACCTTCTCTCACCATCTGTAATAATAGTAACACACTGTATGGACCTTCTCACACCATCTGTAATAACACACTGTATGAACCTTCTCATACCATCTGTAATAATAACAAACTGTATGGACCTTCTCACACCATCTGTAATAATAACAACACACTGTATGGACCTTCTCACACCATCTGTAATAATAACACACTGTATGAATCTTCTCACACCATCTGTAATAATAACACACTGTATGGACCTTCTCACACCATCTGTAATAATAACAACACACTGTATGGATCTTTTCACACCATCTGTAATAATAACACACTGTATGGACCTTCTCTCACTATCTGTAATAATAACACTGTATGGACCTTCTCTCACCATCTGTAATAACAACACACTGTATGGACCTTCTCACACCATCTGTGATGATAACACACTGTATGGACCTTGTCTCACCATCTGTAATAATAATAACTCACTGTATGGACGTTCTCACACCATTTGTAATAATAATAACACACTGTATGGACCTTCTCACACCATCTATAATAGTAACACACTGTATGGACCTTCTCACACCATCTATAATAATAATACTGTATGGACCTTCTCACACCATCTATAATAATAATAACACTGTATGGACCTTCTCTCACCATCTGTAATAATAACACTGTATGGACCTTCTCACACCATCTGTGATGATAACACACTGTATGGACCTTCTCTCACCATCTGTAATAATAGTAACACACTGTATGGACCTTCTCACACCATCTGTAATAACACACTGTATGAAACTTCTCACACCATCTGTAATAATAACACACTGTATGGACCTTCTCACACCATCTGTAATAATAACACACTGTATGAATCTTCTCACACCATCTGTAATAATAACACACTGTATGGACCTTCTCACACCATCTGTAATAATAACAACAACACACTGTATGGATCTTTTCACACCATCTGTAATAATAACACACTGTATGGACCTTCTCTCACTATCTGTAATAATAACACTGTATGGACCTTCTCTCACCATCTGTAATAACAACACACTGTATGGACCTTCTCACACCATCTGTGATGATAACACACTGTATGGACCTTGTCTCACCATCTGTAATAATAGTAACACACTGTATGGACCTTCTCACACCATCTGTGATGATAACACACTGTATGGACCTTGTCTCACCATCTGTAATAATAATAACACACTGTATGGACGTTCTCACACCATTTGTAATAATAATAACACACTGTATGGACCTTCTCACACCATCTGGATTTAGGGGTGGGGTTATGGGTAGGCTTAGGGAACGGCCGAAGTCCCAAGAAGTGATGAACCAAACCAAATTTTTTGCCCAAGCACATCCCTAATACACTGTATGGATCATCTGCATAATCAATACACTACATGGAATTTGAGAAACACTATGAACACAAAAAAAAGAGACTTATGTGAATTATAAAGGTTTCAAAGTAAGCTATCGTTATTTAGAACAAACACGATTATATAAAAAAAAGGCTTATAGATTGCTTGGGAATACTAGTACCTATTTACTACTAAAAAGTGATTCGACAAAACAATATTTGAAAGAACAAAGGGTTCTACTTAATAATACCTATGGGATACAACCCATTTATTAATCCTTATACCGGAGATAAAGTGGACAGCAGCCTGCCTTCTTAGTAACCCTTGATTTCACAGCTCTCTCTACCAAAACACCCCATCATGTAGGGAGGTAGGATAACTGCTATAATATAAACTTATTGAAATTTAGAATCCATGAGAGTAGGTGTTGCAGGGCTCAGCTCACTGGTTGGTGCTTTTAGTGTTCCTTATATTCTCTAAAATTCTGTGCTTAGTCACTATCCTTGTTTTTTACATAACACTACATTAGAACAAATTAGATGGGCTCTAAACTGGCTTTACTGTAATCAAGACCTCCCATAAGCAGAGTAAATAATTTTAATGGGAGATCATTTTTGCAGACACATAATTTAGTCATCTTATTGCTCTGAATGTGCTAGAACTATCTGGCATATTATGCAAGTAAGATAAGGAATAGTTAATTTTACTTGGTTATTGAGTTGTGCAAAAATTAGACAAGCGACATTTGACTTTAAATATGCACAATGGTTCCCCATATATTATGTTAAATAGTGATTTCAGCTGCGCTAGTGCTTAACATTTTTGTGGGCAGACTAGATGGGCCGAATGGTTCTTATCTGCCGTCACATTCTATGTTTCTATGTAACATGAGTATTACGAAAACAAAAACATCATACATTTATAGCTATAACGAGAGACGCCCAGGTCAATGACTTTAACTTTCTTACAGCAGTTTCTTTTGATTCGTATAATGTGTTGGTAAACACCTGTACATCAGGATGCACTATAGTCACTAAAACAACTTTAGCTTAATGTATCAGTGTTGGTATATAGATCATCACCCTACAGTCTGACTACTTAAAGGAACACTATAGGCACCCAGACAACTTCAGCTCAATGAAGTGGTCTGGGTGCCAGGTCCCCCTAGTTTTAATCCTGCAGCTGAAAACATAGCAGTTTCACAGAAACTGCTATGTTTACATTGAGGGTTAATCTAGTCTCTAGTGGCTGTCTCTATGACAGTCACCAGAGGACGCTTCCGCCATCCTCAATGCAAAAATCGCATTGAATGCACTCTGGACGTCCATAGGAAAGCATTGAGTAATGCTTTCCTATGGGCAGTTTGAATGCGTGCGCGGCCCTGGACACGCATGCGCATTCAGAGCTGACATCGGCGGGGGAGGAGAGGTCACCAGCGCCGAGGGAGCCTGGTGCTGGATTAAGGTATGTGGCTGAAGGGTTTTTAACCCCTTCAGCGCCGAGGGAGGGGGGACCTAATAATCCTATAGTGCCAGGAAAATAAGTTTGTTTTCCTGGCACTATAGTATTCCTTTAATTCTCCACCATTTAGGAATGAAATCACTTTGTTTATACAGCTCTAGTCACACCTCCCTACATGGGACATACTGAGCCTTCCTAAACACTTCCTGTAAAGAGTCATCTAATGTTTACACTTCCTTTATTGCAAATTCTGTTTAGTTTAGAATTTCATATCTCCTGCTCTGTTAAAAGCTTGCTAGACGCTGCAGAAGCCTTCTGTATGTAATTACATAGTAAGTTACATAGCATTAAAATGTAAACTATTTTTTTTCATGCAGACTGTGTCAGTCACGGCCAAATAAGCTGTGGCTAGTACTGCATAAACAGAAACAAAAGTGATTTAGCTCCTAAATGGCAGAGAATTGAGCAGTGAAACGTAAGAGGCATGATCTATACACAAAAATAGCTTCATTAAGCTTAATTTGTTTTGGTGACTATAGTGTATATATCCAATATGTATGAAAAAGATGGCTTTGTCTCTATTATTATTAGTATTAGCATATATATAGCTCCAACGTATTCCGCAGCCCTTTACGATATTGTGAAGTGGGGAATTTAACAATAAATTACAAAATTCTAATATGTTACAGTAACAATAGGTTGATAAGGATCCTGCTTGAAAGAGCTTACAATTTAATTGCTGCAGGTTTATTCACTAGACTGGAAATCAATTAACCTGGTTACATCCCATTGGCTTTTAAACAGACAACAGGTCCTGCTACTTCCTGCTTTTGTTAGATCATTGGACCTAAACTCAAAAAGCAGCAATTGCTCAAAGCACCTGCCTTGCAAAGGCTTCTCATTGAGCTGCATTGGAATGTCTGTGATTGGACAGCTACAAAAAGTCTCAGTGGAGTTAAAAGGGGAGGACTTGCAAAGGCTGCAGACAAGAGAACTGCAGGTTTTGCAAGCTATTTTTAGATATACCCACAATAAAAAAAAAAAATAATAATAATTAAATACAATTTTCATTGGGGGGTATATCTGCTAAACAGTAATTTTCATTCATTTTGTATTTGGGTAGTGGAGTGTCCTTTTCACCCCTTCCTGACCTTCGGACGTGCAGGTAACGTCCTACAAAAAACGGCAGTTAATGAACGTGGACGTACCCTGCACGTCCATGGCTAAAATGACCCGTGTACTCACCTGGACCGGCAATCCGTGGTAATCCCAGTCAGATGGGGACTGTCTGAGACCCCAGCAGTCCACCTGCAGCATTTCCAGACCTACAGGGCCATGTGATCACCATGATCACATGGCCCCAATAGCAGTCTATGGAGCTGCCAGCAGGGGGACTGTCTGAGCAATCAGGCAGTCCTCCTGACACCTAAAAGTGTAAAACAAAAATGATCAAATAAATATATTCTATATATATTATATATGTATAATATATTATTAAATAATTTAAGAAATTTATAATATATTATACATGTATAATGCATGTATATGATTGCATTATAAGTGTACTTTGAGATATATACACATATCTCAAAATACACTTATAATGTAAGCATATATATGCATTATATATGTATAATATATTATAAAATGCTTTAATTATTTTATAATATATTATACATATATAGGAACTAAAAACGTGTGTGTGTGTGTGTGTGTGTGTGTGTATGTATATATACATACACACACACAAATTATATGTCTATCTATATATATATATATATATATATATATAAAAATAAATGTTTTTTTATTTTTATTTATAATATATATATATATATATATATATATATATATATATAAGGCTGAGCCTGTGGGTGAAGCCTAGAATTGTGGGAGAGGTTAGTTTTCCTGTAAATATACAGGCTTCCCTTTACTCTGTGCTGTTGCTTCCTGGTTCAGCTCACCCACCACTCCCTTTATCAAACCATTCAATTTGGTTGGCCCTCTTCTTACAGGCCTACCCAAACATCGGTTCCCACACACCACAACCGACTTATGCCACTACTACTATAACTCGGCTTATTGTCCCTGACCACAAATATATATACGTGTATGTGTGTATATATATATATATAACAAGAGAAATCTAGTGTCACAACTGGAAATAAATGGACTACAGAAGAAATTAACTATACACCATGAGGAGGAAGAAATTCCCGTTGCAGAGAATTGTCAACGGTTGAATTGTCAACCTGAATCCATACCCCAAGATGTCATAACAGATATAAGGGAAATGATCCTAGAAAAACTAGCAATCGTTAACCTGCGGACAAGACTACCGAAGATCACTGGAAAGCAACCACCAGACAGCATACTAGCTGCAGTTAATGAAGCATTGTCCACAATCCCACCCTGCACCATCACAGAAACGAACAGGCTTATATATGCCACAGCATTAGTGGTCCTCCAGCTACTTAACTACAAGATCAGGCTAAAAGAGAAGCAATGCCCACCATGGAGACTATGACTGGAAGCCAAGAGAAAGACAGCACAGAAGGAAGTTAGTAAGCTGGATCAACTTAACAGAGGTGGAAAGATCAAAGATTGATCCTGGCTGCTGCGAAAGTACAAGGATATGCCCATACCAAAGTTGCTGGAAACAGCTAAGTAAAGACTGACAGCACTGGCAACCAGTCTGAGCAGATACACCAGAGAAGAAGAGAATCAATGCCTTCTTAAATAAAGAACCATCCAAGGTGTATGCCCAGCTACAGGGTGACCACCACATCTCCTTCGCAAGACCCACCCAGAGCTGAGACTGAACAGTACTGGAAAAATATATGGGAGCAAGAAGCATCTCATAACACCGAGGCCCAGTGGCCACTAGACCTGAAAGCGGACCACTGCATGCTGCCAGAACAGGAACCAGTCATCATCACAGTCAAAGATATCCAACAGAGAGCAGCACACATGAAGAGCTGGTCAGCCCCAGGACCTGACATGATCCACAACTACTGGGTAAAGAAGTTAACAGCACTGCATGAACACCAAGCAGCACAAATGAACCAGCTACTAGCAACAGGCTCCCACCCTGAATAGCTAACACAGGGCAGAACAATACTGGTCATGAAGGACCTTGACAAGGGAACAGTACCATCCAACTACCGACCAATAACGTGCCTCCCCACAACATGGAAACTCCTGTTAGGCATCATTGCCTCCAAGATCCAAGGGCATATGGGTCAATATATGAGCAATACTCAGAAGGGGATTGGAAACAACACCAGAGGATCAAAACACCAACTACTGGTAGACCAAGCAGTCACAAGGGATTCTAAGACCAGATAGACCAATCTGTGCACGGCCTGGAATGACTACAAGAAAGCCACCTGGTCCTTGTTTAGCACCTATTTAGTTTGGGTTCTCCCCTCACTCCTGGCCAGATCATTGCAGTTTGTTTCCTGTTTCCCTGGTTTCCTGTGTTCCTGGCTCCTGCGTGCTGTAACTTGGTCCTGTGTCCTGTGTCTCCTGGTCTTCATCCTGTGTCCTCCTGATCCTGCGTTATTGTTTCCTCCTGGTCCTTCGTTGTTGTGTCCTCCGGTCCTCTGTTCTGGTTCCGTGGTCCCGGCTTTACTACCAGTGATCCTGTCCCTGCAGACTGCAGATGTCCCTATATTAGTCTTGTGACTCTGGATCTGTGCCCTACCTGTTATTCGTGGTAGCTGCACAATCCTACCCTTATACCCAAGGACTGTTACAGTATTTGTTGCCTGGATTGGTACTAATTTTGATTTACTGTATATATTTTGTGGCCTTGTGTGTGTATATATTGTTTTCCTTTGGTTTCCTGTAAATATATATCTCTTGATTTATCCTATTTATTTGTGTCTTGGCATTTATTTCTCTGCTGTATGGGTTCCCACATTTAAAGTGACAGTGCTGTTCCAGGGCAGCACCCCTTCATGTCATTACAGAATGATCTGGCCATTTGGAACCAGCAGAGAATAATGTCCAGGATCACGATGGATAAAATTGTTGGTAATAACGCTGATTCACAGCAAGAGTATGCTCTCATTAAGACATGTTATGAGCAGTTAAAACTTATCCAGCAGCAGATAGCAAAGGCCTCTGCCCTCTGCTTGTCTACTATAACTGTTTCTTTCCAAGTTCAGAAATCTGTATTATGTGGACTTATCACTGAACTGCAAATTTATCACAAACAAATATGTGACCCTTTGCTTTCTCTGCTACCTAATTGCAAAAAATGGTTGAGAAAGCCCACTGTGTTAAATAGGGTGAATGAACTTCTTTGTGTGTCTCTTAAAGAAACATCACTTAACAAATCTTTATCGTTTTATGCAGAAACAGTTAAGAGTTATGCACAATAATTACATTGCCTTGATTCCCGAAATTATATTTCTTATTGATCTAGTACAGGAAAGGATGAGTGTCTTTATGTCTGATACTGATGTTTACATTCCCTTTCCTAATTTGCATAGCATCCCTAATCCTCCTGACTCTGACTTGGACAAAAGGCTTGCTGATCCTCCCGAGTGCAAAACCGAAATTCCTCATGAATTTAAAGCTGAATGCCTTCCAGCCCAAACTGAAGACGACGATGTTGAAGGGTTATATAGCACTGGCGATCCCCTCATGGACCGGGTCTTTGATGAACTGGGTGCTCATTGCATAGCAGCTCTGGAGGACGAGCAGCCTGAATGTGGAGGTAGTACCAGTACCCAGTTTCCTAATATCTCAGTACCAGAGACCCGTAGTACCCTTATACCACAGTCTCTTTTCTGCAAGATCCACTCGCCTATTCCCAAAGTGAGAATACCGACTACCAAGATGAACGATCTCAACACTGTTCAGGAGGGTACAAGTCTGGTCAGAGAGTGTCTCAAGCAAAGTCTGCCCAGCCACGAAGCAGAAATAGACTCCCCTGAGTCTGCAACCAGAGATACTAATTCCTCCCTCACTGTGACAATTGAGGAGACCACCAGTGACCTTGACCAGGTGACTGGATCTGATCTGGAAGTTTGTCCCACAAAGGACAAAGCATTCGATACTGTAAGTGTCAACCCAAATACTGACTCTATGGAATCAGAGGTTCCAATTTCTCCACCTCTTCCCAAGTCATCCTACAAATTTGACTCAGATCAAATAGACATGGCTGAGTCATCTAATACTGGAGACTCAAAATTGGAAGAGTCACCTATAAAATTTGCTCCAGGTGATGAAAGTGACGACAAGACTGGACCATTGAAATTGGAGACTAATCTCGTGGAAGATGATCCTCCTATCAAAAAGACACCACGTAGGAAACGTGGTAAACGACCTACTTCTTTCAAAACACTGTCTGAGAATGCTGAAAAACCTAAGGTGAAAGCTTCAGAGCAACCAGTGGAAGAAGAGGTTATTGTGCCAAAGGCAGCTCATGACTTTGATGTGGAGAGGCTTGATGATTCCAATTTTAACCCTTCTACCTCTGGGGGTTCGAAGATTGGCACCTCTCTCACAACCGCAAATGTGAAAAATGAATTGTCGCCAAGTAAAGACTATTATCCTCAAATAGAAGACAAAGAGTCAGACTTGGTGCAACGTGACAAACCCGTGATGGATCAAGCCCAAGAAAAGGATCTAAATGAGACCGGGCTTGTTCTGAACCCACAGTCTGAAGAAGACTCTACAGTTCTATGTAAGTCTAATATCGTTCTTCAAGTTACATGCTCTGGTAGAACAATTTCTCTGCTGCAAGAGGAAACACCAACTACCACACTTGTAACTGAACCAAGCGTCGAAGATTATTCAAATCAGCCGCTTAACCAAACTCCAAAAGAAGTGAGTGAAACCGAACAAGAAGGTAGCATCCACATATCCGGTACCTGTTCCCATGATGAAGGAAGCTCCTTCTATGACATATCAGTTGCCATGATGTCTGTCACTCCACCTAAACTCCAGCAAGTATTAAAAGAAGACTTGTCTTCAGTTGAGAGTACTTCTATGACAAGTAAAGAACTACCTCAAGCTGAGCTCACAAGTGAAGAAGAGAATGATTTAAGTAACCAGGTATCTCTAGCCGTTACAGAATTATATCAATTTGAGAGAGAATCGTCCCTGCTTCGGCTGGCCCCATGCTCCGAGATATTGGGGGAACCGTTCCTTGATGCATATCTGCGGTCTGAGGAGGAGGGCACGCAGAGTGCTCCTGATCCTGTACTCGCTGGTTTAGGGGATTCTCCTCGATTGATTCCAGTTGTATCTACCCAAGATAATGCAGAGACTGTTCTCCCTTCTACAGAAGTTGCATCGCAGTCTTTGTTCCGAGGATCTTACAAGCCAGAAACCAAGTCAGACCCAGGATTTCTGAGTGATGCACCTGTTACCAGCAATAGTCCCAGATCTAGTGGGTTAGCACATTTGTCGATCACTGGTAAGGAGTGTTTATCGTATGTGCCTTTAATTTCTGTTTATGTGTCTGCCCTTCTAATGCTAAATGTTACTCTACAGTCCTTGCTCTTGTATGTTTCTATTCTGCCTCGTTTGTTTCTCCCGTGGGATTCTCCGCCTCTTATTCCTCCTGAACCTCCTCCTTGTTTTCCTCTACTGGTTGGGTGACCCTGTTTTTCTTCTGTCACCCGTGGGGGATCTTGGGGTTTTGGAGCGCCAGGAGTCGCTCCTTAAGGGGGGGGGGTACTGTCACGACACTCCTTAGCTGATTTGCCCTCGTGCAGTAC